GCCCCATCTCCCTGCCCGGCCAGTGTCTGTACAGAAATTCTTTATATCAATTGAAGCCATCTGGGGGCAGGGACTCTCAGGTCTGGAAGCGTGGCTTTTTGGGATCCAAAATAATACACAACATTAGAACCACTCCCCAACAGAAGAGACAGCTCAGTGGTTAAAGCACCAGCTGCCCTCACAGAGGACCCAGGTCAGGTCCTACCCCAGACTCCTGAGAGCTGGGATGACAGGAATGTGCCCCCATACCTGACTGGGTCTGCCTCTCAAAAACTAAGACCTGCCACAGAAGCTGGCCAGGGCTGTGACCATCGGCATGGCCCCCAAATGCCACCTTCCCTGAGACTCCGAACAGCTGCTTTTTGTCCAGTTTGATTTGGTGATTCTCTGGAACCTTCCTGCTGGCCCAGGTTCACAGGAGACTGTGGGAGGCTGTGGCTCTCTGGGGACAGGGGTAGACACTGATCCAGAGAAAGGTCTAGAAGCCTTGAGAGCTCACAAGCTTGGATGCTTTCCCAGACAGTATGTGGCAAGTACCTTGTCCCAGAAATCGAGGACAGGGACATTTCCTTCCACTGGGGCCCAACCCTCCAGGATGAACAGCGCTCTCCACTGTTGGACAGTCCTCCTGGGGACAGAGCCCAAGGGAGAAGCCTTTGTCATGTTCAAGGGAAGGGGCCTCGGTGAGCAGAAGCCTGGGAATAACCTGTTCTCAACAAGCCAGAGGCTTGGACTAAAGGCAGTGTCTATGACCACCAACAGCTTGTGGGGCACCTGGAAGCCAATCATGGGGATGGAACCCCCAAGTTGCTGTGTCTATAGGGCATTCAGAATGTTTGTGGGGACCACTCAGAGTGCTTGTTGCAGGGTGTGGGGTGCTCAATCTCCAACCAGAGTCCACATGATGGACCCCAGGCTAACCCCTCCTCCATCAGTGTTCACTCTTCTCTCCTTTGGGGTGTTGATGACGTAGGAGCAAGGGAAGTAGAGATCAGATCTTATTAGAAAACCCGCCACATCTGTGGCAGAGAAAGAATGCAGCATCTTGGCTGGAGGCAGGGCCAGCGGGGAGTGAAGAGTTAGCAGTGATCTGCCTTTGCCCCTGCAGGGACGTGATGTGGTTCCCGGGGCTGCCTGTGGTGCTGTAGCTTTCTGGAGGGTGGGATGTCACAGCCTCAGCAAAGCTGTTGTACCTTCATCTAGGCACAGAGGATTGTAGGGCACCTCGTCCAGCAGAGCCGTGCTCCTGGTAGCCGCTGAGAATGGAGCCATGAATCTCCCAAGGCTGCATTCTGCTGACCCTGTTTCTACAGTTGGTTTGGAGAGCAGAGGCAGCTGGAGCAGGAGGGACCCCTAGGAAAAATCACAGCTTTATCTGTAACTGTCACAACAGTAACTGGTGGGACCAGCCACCCATCCAACCAGCCATCAAGGCCTGGCCTGAAGCAGCACAGGTTCCAAAACCTCCAGGAAGGCAGCAGTTCCTCCTGAGGCTAGACCTCTGCTCACCCCACACAGGAACTCCCACAGGCCCACCCTCTCTGTCTACAAAGTGTACCTGCCAGGCTAGAATGAATGTGTCTGATAAAAGATATGATGTTTTGTTTTGAAGCTGAGATGTAGGACTAATCCCGCACTGCTGCAGGACATGTTCACAGTTGCCAGCTCCCCACTGCTGTAGCACACACCTGAGGAGCATCCACATGGAAAGAATACTGGGTCAGCTGGGCTGTTTTAGAGGCGCCATCCTGCAGCTAGCTGGGACCAGGACACACAGGACACGTGGCAGGAGTCTGTGGTGGATGAGGCCAAAATAGAGAGGAAGAGGTGACTGCCACCTAAAGTCCTCTTATCCAGCCCTGCCCCTTAAAGGCCCCCCACCTTGAACTGCAGCACCATGCTGGTCCTTCGACATATGGCCCACTGGTGGCTGTTGCCGACCCTACGATTAGCAGGATCGTAGTCAGGTCTCTATTGCTGTGATAAATACCAGGACTTGAAAGAAGCTGGAGAGGAGAAGATTTGCTTCATCGTAGGAGCTGATGCAGAGTTAACGGAGTATGCTGCTTACTGACTTGCACCCTATGGCTGGCTCAGCCTGCTGAGCCGTGAACCCAGGACCAGCAGCCCAGGGATGGCAATGGGCTGGGCCCTTCCTCATCAATCACCAATTAAGAAAATATACCACGGGCAAATCTGATGGGGCAATCCCTCAGTCAAAGTTCCCTTTTCCCAGATAAGTCAAGGTTGGTGTCAAGTTAACAAAAGCCATCCACCACAGGACCCTTATCAGACACTGTCTGTCCACCCCAACACTGCAACCTCAGGACCCAGTTAGCAACCTTCACTCTTTTAAAAGAATTATTCTCTGTTTATTGGGAAGGTGTGAGCTCGCCTCATTGTGCCTGCAGACCTCAGAGGCCGAGCTGGGGGAATCATTTCTTCCCTCATGAAGATCCCAGACATTGAACAAGCTCCTTTGCTGGCTGAGCCATCTTGCCTGCCCTATTCTTATTCTTGTGCCTCCCTGTGTGATCCCTCCTATCACCCTGTCTAAACCCCAGCCCTCCTCCTATCTTCCTCTTCCTCCTCCTCCTCCTCCTCTTCCTCCTCCTCCTTCCCAGATCTCCAGCCTTCAGGAAAGATCTGGAATCAGGTGACAAAGAAAAGCAGGGCTGTAGGTTCCATACCCAGAGCCTCCTGCAGTGTCCCCTCCTCTCAATGACTCCTTGGTCTCAGCTTTGGTCTTGAAGTGCCATGTCAATGTCCTGGGGCACCAAACACAAACAATGAAGCTCTGCCCCTGCCTCACAGAGCTGTGGCATCAGGGACACAGCACAGACCCAAGTGGATAGAGAGCTGAGAAGAGAAGCCCAAGGGTCCAAGTGACCCTGATATGTGAGAGCCACACCCATGCTGGATCGTCACAGGCTCTGGAACAGGCTCTGCAGTGTTGTGCCGTGCACAGGGCCAGGTGAAGCTCCCAGAGGAGTGGAAGGGACACATGGCTAAGCCCTGGGCTAATGTTGGCCTCAGCCTCGGGCCTCGATGTTCTGTCAAGTGGGAGGCACAGGGGTAGCCCTGAAGTGGCTCAGTTCTGTCTACACTGACATGGGAAGAGGAGAAGGACACTGTGTCCAGCATGCCAGAGGGGGCAGCAAAGGCAAGATGTCCATGCCTCAGGATAGAATCAAACTCCTGGGCAGGAAAGCTCAGTCCCCTTGGAGAACATTGTCCCAAGCCCAGGCTGGCCTCCGTGTCTCGGTCTTCCTGTCTTGGCCTCCCAGGTTCAGGGATGGGGAAGCAAGCATGTGTCTGTTTCCTTGTTTAAACTGCCACCTGTTCACCCCATTGGTGTAAAGTGAGAACTGTGCTCTGTGGGGGAAACAGCTGGTGTATGGCACCTGCATGGGGTTGGGGAGGACCGCAGAGACATCTGTCTCAGGCAGGCTCACAGGTGGAGAGCTGGGTACAGCTGCTGGCTGGGACAAGCAAGGTGGCAGGATGGCCCAAAGGCCCAAACCCAGTGCTCAGAGATCAGCATGGTCTTGATCAATCACAGCAGCGTTAGAGGCCAGCTCTGACTGCCCAGAGGCAGAGCCAGTCCACCTCTAGCTGGCTCTGGCCTGCCATCTCCAGAGAGACAGCTGTCTCTTGGTCCTGTGGTGCCAAAATAAACCCATCCTCAGGCCATTTGTGCTGTCTGTGCATAGTGTGGCACTCAGCCTCCTGTCCTTTCAACTGGCTACCCTGCAGATATGGCATCTGAGATCCTGTTTGGAGCCTCTCGATGTCTCCCCAAAGTCGCCCTCTAACCTGGATTTCTGATGCATACTGAGCCTGGCCCCAGGGTGATGGAGGAGGGACACAGGAGTTGGAGAGACCAGTAAGAAGCAACATGAGCCTCTGTGTGGTGGTCATGGCAGGGACTCCCTGCTTGGTCCCATGGAGGAATTCCCCAGAGTTCACCCCATGTTTATTTATTTATTTTTTTTTGTGCTTCAATTGTTTTATTATTCTTTATTGGTCCTACCAATGTGACTCTTTACCCAGGCCCATTTTTCCTATGTGTGCTGGCTGTGGAGACAGTCTGCCATCAACCGTGACCAAAGTCTAGGCTAGTCTCACCTTCCTATGCCTTCTCCTCACTTGGCCTCATTTGCTCAGAAACAGAAGACACCCACTCATCATTGTTACGCCCCCTGTTTAGAGAGGAGCACAAGCTGGTTTCCTTCTGCAGCCCAGACCCAGCCATATGGCCATACACCTGTCAGTCACTAACAGTGACTCCCCTGGGAGACAGTGCAAGCATGGGGACAAAGGACACCAACCTAGGAGGGGCTGGACAGGCATCAGGCACCATTCACAAGACATAGTGGCTTCATGCATGGAGGGACTCAGCCCCCTTGTCAGTATCATAGCTCATATCTAGTCACACGGCAGCCACAGGGTCAGGTTATGTGTCTTACCTGTAGGACAGACCCAAGACAGGGTGTCAACACCCACAGCAGGGACCAGGTACTGGGTTCTTGGCACCTCCCTAAGCCTTGGCCTCTGCACACAGCCTTGGGTCGCACCTTTTACTGACTCTCAGGGCCTCTTTGGGGTTGGGGCAAGCCATCAGTCTGGTGATGTCCTTCCTCACTAGAACACAAGGCTTCCTGTCCACCGCCCTGTATTTCTGCATCAGAATCTGTCCCTTTGCTGTGGGTTTAGGAGATTTCAGTATTCCCAGGACTGTAGTGCTGTGGACACGTCTCTATCACATGAGGGTTTATAAAATAAGTCAAGGAACATGGAGGCCAAGCTGTACATGGATGGACAGACAGATAGATGGGTAGGATGATAGATGGATAATGGAGAGACAGAAGTACTTGGCATATTTATTCGGGGGACTGATGTGAGTACCACACAGGTGGCTTTGTCACTGCCCTTGCCAGCACAGAGAAGCGAGCTGCTGTCCTGGGACTCTAGGCCTTTGATGCCCATCTGTCCTCTAGCTCCAGTGGCTTCTGGATAATTACGAGACAGCGGAGGGTGTGAGCCTGCCCCGCAGCTCCCTGTACAACCACTACCTACGCCACTGCCAGGAGCACAAGCTGGAGCCGGTCAATGCTGCGTCCTTCGGCAAGCTCATCCGCTCTGTGTTCATGGGCCTGCGCACACGGCGCCTGGGGACCAGGTGAGTGATAATCCCAAGGGCTCCCTGCATCTCATGCCAGCCCTGCCTCCTCTCTTCCCATGTCAGAGACCCAGCTACCCAAAGCCCACAGGCCTCCAGCCCCGGTGGAGGCTTCATGACTTCCAGCTGTCCAGAGTTAAGGTGGGGAGACACTGGAAAGAGAGGGCAGGGCAGGACTGAGACACAGAGTTCACACTCATTTTATAAATTTTGTTGTTGATTTGGTTTTGAGACAGGAGCTCACTCTGTAGTTCAGGCTGTCCTTGAACTCACAGAGATCCACCTGCCTCTGCCTCCCAAGTGCTCAGATTAAAGCCTGTACCACTACACTGGGCTCATTCCATTTTTAAAATCCATTTGAATTTTTATTCCTCTGAATAAGCTGTTTTTATTTTTATTTTCTTCTTTGGAGACAGTCTCATGTAGCCCAGACCAGCTTCACACTCATCACACATCTGATGATGTTGAACTGCTGCCCCTCCTGCCTCCACCACTGTGTCAACCCTTGAACATGGCAAGGCCACCTCCTGTTCCTCCTTGTTACTTCGTAAGATACACCCTTTTTCAGAATGGAGTTTAGAGCCTGGCATGGCACACCTGTCACCCACACTTGAGATGTGTCGCCATGTTCCTGGGCTGTAAGGGCATCTCAGGCCAGCTGTGAGGTGAGGTATGAGGAACACTAGGCAAGAGCTGTCACTCATAGTCACAGTAAGACCTGGGCTGGACAAAGTTGGCCACTTTCTCCGTGCAGGACAACCCAGAGCCGTTATCACACTAACAAGAGAGAGGCCTCCCCACCAGGGGCTGCTACATATAGAATGGCCCCATGATTGCAAGCCAGAGGAGTCGAACCTAAGTGTCTACCCTGTAATGTTTTATTCCAGGGGCAACTCCAAGTACCATTACTACGGGATCCGCCTGAAGCCAGATTCCCCACTGAACCGACTGCAGGAAGACACACAGTACATGGCCATGAGGCAGCAGCCCACACACCAGAAACCTAGGTGGGTGATGCTGGCCAGGCTGGCCAGGCCCTGCACTGCTCAATCCCAGGGTGCTGCAACAGTGTCCCCAAACATGACAGGCAAGACACTCCACAAGTCTTGTGTTCTGCCTCCAGTGTGTTTGGACAGATACTCGGTGAAATGTGGTGTCAGATGAGGGATGTTTTATTGCCTAAACCATGTCCTCCCCTGTGCCTCCCTCCCACCCAGATCTTGGCAACACACATTTTTCTTTTGTTTTCATTTATTTTCTTTTGGGGTATCTATATTTCTATTTTTTTCTAGAAGAAAATTATAATTGAAGCCACAGATCCTAATTATCTTGTTTTGTTGAGGTACTGAGGACCTCAAATACCCTAAGCAGGGCCCCTACCCCTGACCATGCCACTAGCCCCTCACTGGGAGATTCTAGGCAGAACTCCACCCCTGACCACGCCCCAAAGCCCCTCACTGGTTCCTTTCAGGACCAGCAGACATGAGCAAGCCTTCATCCTTGTCAAGGGACACCCCAGAAACACCTCGGTGGCACCTTCTTCCTCCCCCAAGAGATCTCACCTCACAGCCCTTGGCTGACTGTCACAGCTAGCTTGGCCAGCAGTGTCTAGGAGGCTAACTGGTCTGAGCATGTTTCCCCTCTGTGCACCTATACGATGTTTCTAGTAGATCCAGCCAAAGTAAATCCAAAGTCAGAATCTCCACACAGTAATGAAACGTCTAGGATCTGTGTCAAGGGTCACCTGCCTCCAGAGGGAAAACAGCATGGAAACGTGCTATCGGTGACATCACACAAGGGGCGTCTGCTCATACTGGAATAACATTCAGCCAGGAAAATGAAGGACTTTCTAATGTCTGCTCCGATATGAATGGGCACATGAGCCAGACACAGGACACACTGCAGGGTCTCCCTCCCGGGAAGTTTCTGGTGCCAGCACAGTCACAAAGACTGAAAGGGGTGGAGTGTTAGTTCTGGAGCTGGACGGCAGGGACATCTATGTGACAGCTTCCTGCCCCTGAGCCTGGTACCCAGCAACTGGGTACTGCTCCTGGGCCCAGGTCTGTCCAGGTACTGGCTACTTCCCACAGTTCAGGTCCCACCACTGGGAGAGAAAGAATACTTGTTGTTGACTGCTCTTAAAAATGGCACACCACCCACATGCATGTGCACACACCGAGTCCTTTGTGCTCCCTGGGCTCATCCCAGAAAGGGTTGCTGAGGACTCATGGTAGCATGTATGTCCTCTTCCCAGGTATCGGCCAGCCCAGAAGTCAGACAGCCTCGGGGATGGCAGTGCTCACGGGAACATGCATGGCACACCTGAGCAGGCCATGGCCAATCAGGGCCAACATCACCAGCAGTACATAGGTGAGTGTGGGGCCTGCTCTGCCGTATATCCAGTTGTAGATGAGTCTTCTTCTGACACCGCTGAGATTGTAGAACGATCAGTGTATACTCAGACAGCAGATATGTGAGACGACCGTAGACTAATGAATGACGAGGACGTGGCAGACAGTGTGAATGGCAAAGTGACTGCCATAATGATGGTGACTTTGAGTACGGGCAGTGCACCCAGAGCTGAGCACAGAGATTCCTCCATGACTGTCCTATAGCCCAGGCTGATCTAAACTCCTAATCCTCGTTAAGTATTGGGGTAACAGGTCACTGTGGTGCTGGGGATGGGACCCAGGGTCTCATGTATCTCAACAAGCACTCTAGCCACTGACCCAGCCCCAGACTGGCTGCTTCAGGGATGTTTCTGAGACATTGCTTACCCTGGGTTCAGAATAATACCTAAGGAACTGACATCCACAGTTGCCACATGACGACAGCACTATTGTGCGTCTCCAGTGCCTGTGTCCCCTGCAGCCTATATGTGTGACATGTGTGGATTGTCTCTCCCTAGATGTGTCCCACGCCTTCCCAGAGTTCCCAGCACCTGACCTAGGCAGCACGCTACTGCAAGAGAATGTCACCCTTCATGACGTGAAGGCCCTGCAGCTGGTGTATCGCAGGCACTGTGAGGTAACGACCTACTCAGCCAGACTCAACCCCCACCTGCAGCTGCCTTGCACCGTCACTAGATCTGTGTCCCACTGGAGGCCAGAGCCCCCCATGTCCCCCAACTAGATGGACCTTCTCCCTGGGCACCGCCTCTGCCTGTTCTCTCCTCACTAGCAAGGCCCCTTTGGGGACCTCAGAAGACCCCACAGCTGCCCGGAGCACCAGGCACAAGACAAGCCTAGCCCCTGACAGGCTGTTCCACTCCTAGGCTACCTTAGATGTCGTCATGAACCTCCAGTTTCAGTACATTGAGAAGCTGTGGTTGTCATTCTGGAACTGCAAGGCCACCTCCAGCGATGGCCGTGCCTCATTGTCTGCCAGGTGACACCCCCAACCCCAGGGCAGGGCAGACTCAGCTCATGTGCTCCCCAATTTAATCCCAAGGCAATCTCCTGATGACACCTTCCATATCTAGGCTGTCTGAGGAGGTGCCTAGATACCCCTTCTCCGTGTTTTTAAACTTGGTGTTGTCCTGACACCACCTGCTTCTACAGCAGTTGTACACCTGATCTGCTGTAGTTCTGGGGACCCTGAGCCTGTACATGCTAGGCAGGGCCTGTTCCCCTGAGCCATGGCCCCAGCTCTCTTGCTGGACATGGCTTTGTCATCCTCCTGCCTTGGGTTCCTGAGTACTGGGATGATATGCCTATGGTACCAAGTTTGACCCAGCCCAGAGTCTACAGTGACTTTTATCATCCTTGGGGGACCCAAAGGGGCTACACAGCTGCCCAAGCAGCATGAGTAACGGACGGGACAGTGCCCTAAGCCCCTGAGCAGAGCCTGCTTAGAGGCTGGTTCCCTATGCACTCCATGTGGTCTCTGCCCTGTTTCTCTGGGCTCACCTGTGCTCCCTCCCTCTCCCACAGTGATGAGGAGCCAGAAGTCACCCTCCTCCCCAAGGACAAGCTCATCTCTCTGTGTAAGTGTGAGCCTGTCCTGCAGTGGATGCGAAGCTGTGATCACATCCTGTACCAGGCGCTGGTGGAAACCCTTATCCCAGATGTGCTGCGGCCCGTCCCCAGTAAGCGGCCCCATCCCAAGACCCTGCCCCCCAGAGCCACTACTCAATCCTGTGGTGTCCCCCCATTTGCCAACTCCTCCTGACTCCTGAGGCCTGCCAGGCAGCAGGGTGATAAGAACAGGCCAGAGTAGGTACCTAGCTTTCCAGAAGGTTCCCTGGAGCAAGGACATCCAAGAGTCATCAATTAGGAAAACCACTGTGGCCACCTCAGTTTCAAGGGCACACCAGGCCATTCGTGGACACCAGGGATGCTTGCTAGGAAAAATGGCCAATACTGGCCCATTAGAGAGGGGATTACCCATAAATCCAGACAGCCTTAGACCCACAGAGGCCCTGCCCAGCTCAGTGCCCATGGCCCCAGAGTGGGCAGCACACCCAGCTTCAGTCTTGGATGCACTCCCTGCAGGTATGTGCATGTGGGACTGTTAGTGTCTACCAGTCTAGATCTTTATAAATGCCCTGAGGAGCTTCCTGCCAGAAGTTAGAAACAGAGAACTATGGCCTTTCCTGGGGACCAGCCAGGGTGACGTTCTGAATCTCAGGAAGACAATGATGTTGGAACATATTTTCTTCAAAAACAGTCTGAAAATAAATTAAAATTAAAAGGAAAGCAAAAGTAGCCCGATTACCCTTCATGGAGGCTCGTGCCTTTTACTCCAGCGCTTGGGAGGCAGGCAGGTCTCTATGAGTTCGAGGCCAGCCTGGTCTACAGAGTGAGTTCCAGATCAGCTATGTAGAAAGATCCTGTCCTGAAAATAAAATCTAAAAAAGATTTTGGCTTTCTATAGAAAGTCTAAATTTCTTCTGAAGGCAAGTCAGTGTAAAATAAATTCAGATGTTGACAGAACACACTGCGTGTGTGTGTGCATGTGTGTTTGCATATCTGACCCCGATGCTGTGGTTCTGGTGATGTGTACATTTTGACAGTGGCAGCCCAGGCAATGCTGGGTGCTGGGCAGTGTCCCTGCTCTCCATAGCAGGAGCTCCATCACTATGCCTGCCTCGAGTATTCCTGGACAAGGCCCAGTGTCTCCTCAGAGCTGGGGATAAGTGTCTGCTCCCTACTCTCGCCTGGCACCTCCTCCCTGGGTGTCCAGGGCCCTAGTCACCCTCAGGCTGCCACTTGTCCCTCTTCTGCCTATACTGGCTGGCATCATCTACATGACACCTGGTGGATCCCATTGGGTGGGTCCTCACCCTACTCACGCCACTCACCATGAGTTCACCCCTCCAGGTTCCCTTACCCAGGCCATCAGGAACTTCGCCAAGAGCCTAGAGGGCTGGCTCATCAATGCCATGAGCGGCTTCCCTCAGCAGGTCATCCAGACCAAGGTACCAGCACATGTGGGTCTGGGCTCCCCTGGGCTGCCCAGGTCACTTCCCTTGTGTGTCTAGGAAAATGAGCCTCCCAGGATGCTGTGGGGGTGGGAGAGGAGCTGGCAGGGAAAGGACCATAGATGGCCCTGGAGGTGACATTCTTGGACCACTGTAGAACAGACAGCTGCATTGTTTGCCAAGTGGGACTTCCCTGACAGAGTCTTCAGTGTAAATCTGTGGCCTAGGTACTCTGGACCGTGTGTACAGGGATGCTGGGGCTGGGGCTGGGGCCACAGCTTAGGGGGGTAACATTTGCCACACAAGCATGAGGACCTGAGTGTGGACTCTGTCACTAAAAAAAAAAGCTGTGGATGGTGGCGCACACTGTAACACCAGCACTAAGGGCTCACAGGAACAGCCGGTAGCCTAATCTACAAGTCCTGTCTCAAAAAAGTACAGTGCAGAGGTCCAGGCAGTGGCTCTGTGGGTAAGAGCTCTTGGCAGCAAGCCAAGTGGATCCCTGGGACTCACATGGTGAACGGAGAGAACCAACTCCCACAAGCTGCCCTCTGACCTCTCTACACACACACCAACACATGTGTGCATTCACATACTAATAGTTAAGAAAAAAACTAAGGTGCAGAGTGAAGACCCCAACTTCAACCCCTTGCCTCCATACCCTCACCACAACCACACCTACACATAAGCCAGTTTGGTGGGTGTGAGGATTCTAGGCCCCCACCCCACTCACTGAATCTTCCAAAACAGTCTCATTTAGCCCAAAATTTCTGTCTTCCAACTCATAATCCTCCTGCTTCAGTTCCCTGAGTGCTGGGACATCCCACCCCATCGGGATCTGTATCTTTACTATCCACTGAGGCTTCCAGAAGCAGGGTCAACCACAGGGCCAGGAAGAAAAGCCCTTAGATGTGCCCTGTGATGGGCTGGCTGCGACCTTCACATACCCCTGCACCCTAAGTCCGTATGTGTACTTACTTGCCTAATGCAGCAACACAAAGGTGGAAGGGTCTATCCTGGAGCATGTTTGGAGGGCACAGTCCATCATGGGCAGAGCACAGACTGCTGGGCACCCGTGTCTGCTCTGCTCAGCCAGTGGGATGTCTTTCCCCTCCTCAGTTAGGCAGTCTAGATTCCTCAGTGAGATGGGTCTAGGGGCTAACATGGGTCCTCTTACCTACAGGCTCCTCCATCCTGCCCCTTCCTCCTCTGCTATCCTGAGTCTCCACAGGCCTGCAGGGAGCAGGGTGGTGTGCGTGCATGTGTACACATCTGTCTGTCCATCCCCTATGCAGGAGCTTTGCTAACCTGTCACCTGGGTCCCTCATAGGTGGGTGTCGTAAGTGCCTTCGCACAGACGTTGCGGCGCTACACGTCCCTCAACCACCTGGCACAGGCAGCACGTGCCGTGCTGCAGAACACATCACAGATTAACCAGATGCTGAGTGACCTCAACCGTGTGGACTTTGCCAATGTGCAGGTGACTTGGCAGTGACATCCGCTTGCTCCGCCTTGCTCTGGGCTGAGTCCTCCTTACCCAGGCTGACCAGCAAACCACAGCTGGATGCAGCAGGCAGCTCATCTCTCCCTGGCCTGTACATCTGCAGTGGAAAGCCTGAGGCCTGCGCACAGCCACCAGCCACCTGCTACCTTGTCTGGACTCCTTTGGTAGCTGGTTTAACAAACTGTGTTCTTGTCTGTTTGCATTCCAAATGCTCCCAGCTGCTGGACCTTGTGTGTCTGGCTCTGTCTTGCCAAAAAAGTACAAACAATTGCACAGTTGAGGACAGGCCTGGGGCTTCAGGGCCATCCTTTCAGCAGATTGTGAGCCTTTGTGAAGCTCAGTGGCACATATCTGTCATCACACTTAGGAGACTGAGCCAGGAAGATTGGGAGTTTAGCCTAACCTGGGCTACCTCCTGAGACTTTGACAATAAACAAGAAAAGGTGGAGTTGGGGTTCAGTGGGCCAAGCACCCTCCTAGCAATGCACCAAACCCTGGGCCCCATCCCCAGCAACATATCAACCCAGGAAGGAGTTCAGGGTCATCTCAACAGTTTGAAGCCAGCCTGGGCTACATGAACCCCTGTCTCAAATAAATACAATAGAAGATTCCCCAGGCCCTCACCAACTATGCCTTTGCAGGAGCAGGCCTCATGGGTGTGCCAGTGTGAGGAGAGCCTGGTGCAGCGTCTGGAGCATGACTTCAAGGTCACCTTACAGCAGCAGAGCTCGCTGGACCAGTGGGCCAGCTGGCTGGACAATGTAGTCACCCAGGTACTGAAGCAGCACGCAGGCAGCCCCAGCTTCCCCAAGGCTGCACGCCAGTTCCTGCTCAAGTGGTCCTTCTACAGGTGAGCTGGATCACCCCACATCCATGGTAGGGAGGTGCCACCCCTGAGGTCCAAACACCCTGTGTCCCCCACCCCTTCAAAAAAGAGAATAAAAAAAAAACAAAAGAATAAAACCAAAACAAAACCACAGAAGAGCTCCTGTGACAGCCTTCACCTTCGGTGTCAGTTCTGACGTGGGCCGGAGGCTCTGCTCTTGCAATGTACTGGGATTTAATTCCCAGCCCCCATCTGGTGGCTAAGAGCATCTGCAGCTCCAGTTCCAGGCAGTTGGTCTCCTGGGGTAGTGCACCCTCAGGGTGCACCACAGGCAGACAACACATTAAAAAAAAAAAAAAAAAAAGAGGAGGTGTCTATGTGGCATACAACTTTAATCTCAGCACTCTAGAAGCAGAAGCAAGAGGGTCTCTGAGTTTGAGGCCAACCTGGTCTACACAGTGAGTTCCAGAACACTTTAAGTTATGTAGAGAGACTTTGTCTCAAAAATAAATAAATATTAAATAAACAAGTCAGATGTATGTTTTGGTTTGGTTTGGTTTTGGTTTTTTTTGTTTTTTTGGTTTTTTTTTTGGTTTTTCGAGACAGGGTTTCTCTGTGGAGCCCTGGCTGTCCTGAAACTCACTCTGTAGACCAGGCTAGCCTTGAACTCAGAAATCCGCCTGCCTCTGCCTCCCAAGTGCTGGGATTAAAGGTGTGCACCACCACTGCCCGGCCAGATGTATGTTTTAAAAGAGCTAAAAATCACACAAAAAAGTGCTGTGTGTACTGTCCTGCCTGTACCCACTCACCTGCATCCCCCTCTGTCCCTGCGTATGTCTGGGAATGGATGGCTGACCCTTGCCTCTGGGAACCTGATGGCCTCCAGCAGGTAGCCCTTGCAGTACTTGCAAGCTCAGAGCATCCCAGAGGAGCCAGGCCAATACCCCAGGCTCAGTTCCAGAGATAGTACCCACTCTCTGTCGCTGTGTCCCCAGCTCTATGGTGATCCGTGATCTGACCCTGCGCAGTGCCGCCAGCTTCGGCTCCTTCCACCTTATCCGGCTGCTGTATGACGAGTACATGTTCTACCTGGTGGAACACCGTGTGGCCCAGGCCACCGGGGAGACGCCCATTGCCGTCATGGGCGAGGTGAGGCCAGGGTGGCCCAGAGGCCAGATCCACCCAGACACACACATAGTAGCTCACAACCATATGTAACTCCCTCTCCAGGGGAATCTCATGCCTTCTTCTGGCCTCTGTAGGTACTGCACATGTGCACAAACACATTTGCCTCCTAAAAAGCAAAGAACTGAAGCCACAGGAAGGCTTGTGCTCTGTGGAAGCCATTTTTGGGGACCTGCAAGAGCAGGGACTCAGCCCACACAACCCTTTCAGAGCCCAGTCCTTCCTAGTCACTCACCCCAGGGCCTGACTGGAGGGAACCATGACTGTCACCTCTGCAGGTCTGTGACTCTCCCTTCTCTTACAGTTCAATGATCTGGCCTCCCTGTCGCTGACCCTGCTGGACAAAGGTGGGTGTGTCCCAGCCCCTTGCACAGTACTAGAGGTGCCATTGTGGCAGCCTCTGTGATGGGTTGAGGATCCCAGGAATTGGTGTGCAGGTGGTGGGAGCACTGGCAACTGGGCATGTGCTCTGGTGAGGTGATATCCTGTGGTAGCTTAACAGGGTGTGAGGAGAGATTATCACTGGCCAGTCTGGGTGGCTGAAGCCAGTGGCTAGTGACCACTGGAGACCTGGGTTAGAAGGCCAGCCTGTTGATACACCCAAGGGTGACCAGACAGGACATGGGGGCAGGTTGACCTGAAGCAGAGGTGAGGCAAGTTTCACAGGCCACTCTGTTCATAGTGGCACCTCTGTCCCTCATCCCTGCAGAGGACATTGGGGATGGACACAGCAGTGAAGCAGATGTGGATGGTCGCAGCCTAGGTGAGCCCCTGGTGAAGCGGGAACGGAGTGACCCCAGCCACCCACTACAGGGCATCTAGCCCCTTCCCTAGGCGTCTTCCACGTGCTTCCGGAAGGCGTCACCTGGCCATCTAAAGACCTGGACTCTCAGCTGTATCACACTAGTGCCTCTTCAATGATGCCATGTTTACTGTGACCCAGATTAGCCTGGGGTGCCCCACCCACAGGGTGCCAGAGACTGTGGGGAACTAAGATGGCCACTCAAGCTGCCATACTCTGCTAAGGTGCCCCTGACCCTGGACTGTCCCCCAGAGGACAGCCTCTGTGTCAACACCCTCCCCTGCTATGTGTGTAAGTTGAGAGGCACATCCCCAGAAATGTCCCAGCCACCTTGGTGGCTTTTCCACTCAGCTGCTCCCAACTTAAACACCATTTCAAAGAACCCCACTCTAGCAGAGCCCAGAGTGGGAGGAACCGTCCTGCTCTCAGGCCACTGTGTGGAGATTCTGCTGCCATCTGCATGCACCTCATGGTCTCTCGTGGACAGGCAAGGCCTCCAGGCACATGACCTGGGTCATAGATGTTAACTGTATCTCATCTTGTCCTAGACAGGTCCAAGCCCCAAAAAGATAACAGGCTCCAAGCAGGACCAGTCAAACCCAGATACTCAGCCCAATTAGACTTTCTGTCCAATTCACAGTTGACACCAAGATAACCTGGAGGGTCCTGGGATGGGTTTCCCCAAGCAGCTGCAGGGGACAGCACCATGTCCATGCCTCCCAACAGGACTCCAAAACCTGTGCTCATGGCAGTGCCTGGGCCTCTGCAGTCTTCCAGACACCTCTCCCAAACTAGCCATGCTTGCTGCTGGCCTGTGGCCAACCCCTTCTCAACCCCAGAACGTGAGATCTCTGTGGACAAATAAACACCAAGGCCTATTGGGCCCTGAGTTCTAGAGGCCCCAACATATCACACCTTGCTGCTGTCACCATATTGAGAATTCTGCCCCAACACAAGCCCTGTCCTCCCACACCTAAAAAGCACCTAATGAAATACTATAGTTTCTTTTTGGAAAAAATGTTCCCCCCCATAGTTTTGTGCTGTAATTGTTCTTAGAAGGTTCTTGTGAATGTGTCCATCGCAATATACCTGGCGTCCACGTTTGTTCATTCAGGCGGCACTGGGCACCCACACAGAGCCTTTAGACACAACAGCTTCAAAGGACACACTGATGCTTACAGTGACTGCACTGACCAGTGGCGCCCCCTTGTGTAAAGCAATACACACTGGATTTTTGCCTCGCACTGTGTTGTCCTTTGTTGAGTAGGTAGATCCCCATCCGTACTCCAGCTCCAGGGGATCTAATGAGTGTTTACCAAACTCACTCTGGGGCCCCATGGCTCCTCAAAAGCTGAGCCTTTGACCTCAAGGTCAATTCCTTCTGGGAGTGATGGACCCGTGTCCCTAGCAAGGCCAGCTTGGAGCTGATGACAGCAGGATCTGCTTGCACAGGGTGGCCCTTCCAGACCCAACAGAATAAATGCATACTCTTGTTCCTGGCACCCAACAGGTGCCTCTCCTAGAAACTTTGGTGTATCCAGAAGTGGCCCCTTGGTTCATAGATGGACCCAGTAGGTGAATCTGGTGGTGGTGGGCGTAATGTGCTCCAACTCTGATCTCCCACATGATGGAGGGACAGCTCAAGGGATACTGGTCCTTCATGGTTTGAGAAAAAACTTGTAAGATTTTGGAGCTGGAGAGATGGGTTAGTGGTTTGAGCACTGGCTGCTTCTGCAGAGGACGCAGGTTCGATTCCCAGCACCCCCAGGATGGTTTACAATCATCTGTAACTGCAGTTCTGTGAGATATGCCATCCCTTTCTGGCCTCCACAGGTATTGCATGTATAGTGCATAGTGCATAGTGCACAGAGACATCTGGTCAAAGTACCCACACACATGAAATGCTTTTTTGTTTAAAAAGAAAGGGTGGAGGAGCTGGAGAGATGGCTCAGTGGTTAAGAGCACTGACTGCTCTGCCAGAGGTTCCAAGTTGAATCCCCAGCAACCACATGGTGGCTCACAACCATCTGTAATGGGATCCAGTGCCCTCTTCTGGTGTATCTGAAAAGAGTGACAGTGTACTCACATAAAATCTTTTTTTTTTTTTTTTTTTTTTTTGGTTTTTCGAGACAGGGTCTCTCTGTGTAGTCCTGGCTGCCCTGGAACTCACTCTGTAGACCAGGCTGGCCTCAAACTCAGAAATCCACCTGCCTCTGCCTCCCAAGTGCTGGGATTAAAGGCGTGCGCCACCACTGCCCGGCTCATAAAATCTTTAAAAAAAAATGGAAATGCCCACAGGCAGGGAAATGTTCTTTTTGAAATGTGCCCTTGCCTCTAGGGTCCTTCCCGGTGCTCTGACTGATGTGTCCCCATCCTTGGGTCCTGCTCTAGGCCTGAGACACAGCCCGGGATTTCCTGGGAGCCATTTTCTTTAGTCTCTTTGTGAATGACGTGAAGCCAGAGGAGGAGGTTGGAAGAAACAGTCTCACTGAAACTAGGCCAGCAAGACCCAACAGTCCTTGTCTCTGTCCCCAAAATGCTGGAATTACTGGTGTGTACAACCAGCTGAAACTTTTTACTTTCAATGCTAGGGACTCACTACCTAACTGGTCTAGAACTGTGTAGAGCCATCTGCCTCTGCCTCCCAAGAGCCAGTCTGAAAGGTTACAGAGAGCAGTAGATGGCCTTGAACTCCTGATCTTCCTGCCTCAGCAAGCTCTGAAGACAAGTGAGGGGGAACGTGCCATTTCCGTGGTGCCAGGGGTTGAATCCAGGACTTCATGCCTTCCAGCTGAAGCCTCTGTCCACTGCCCCTTTATCTTTTATCTCAATTGGTGCTTCTTCCAGAGCACTTCTTGGGGGTCCCCCAGCCAAGCGCAGAGCACGTCTACGCTGCACCACGCGTCCTACCCATGATTCACAGCGGTTATATGAAGCCCATCCATCGCTCTACAAACAGCTGAATCTTCCTAAGCCATCACAACACTCTGCTTACTCAGCCAACACTAGATGGGGGAGGCACCAGGAAAAGGTGGTCTCTCTTCACTGTGACCTTAGGAAGGTGGGAGGGGGTGGGGGAGGGGGCCTGGCCAGAAGAGAAGAAACCCTTGCAGAACCTTGAGCACGAAGCAAGGCAGGGAATGGCTCTCACACAGGAAGCTGTTGGAGAAATTACACTGAGCTGTGTTTGGTGAGTACATGGGTGGAGCACCGGCCTGCACGCAGGAGGCCCTGTGCCCCAGCACAGGAGAAACCAGTCAGCTCAGCTCTCAGCACGTGGAGACGGAAACATTAGGAGTTCAAGGCCATTTCTCAAATACAGAGGATTAAGACCAGCCTGGGCTACAAAAGACCTGTCTTAAAGAAAAGCAAGCTGTTGGTGTGTAAGGAGCCGTTCTGCTGCTCCGGTCCGCAGGTCAGGGAGCAAGAGAGAGAGTGGGGACGGACGCGAAGAATGGAGACAAGACGAAGTCTGCTGCTGGAGACGGAGTCTGAGTCTGTCTGTCTACTCTGTCTAGTCTGTCTGTATGCTCTGAGTCTATCTGCTCTGAGTCGGTCTGTCTAGTCAAAGTCTGTCTGCTCTTTCTTTTCTGTCTGCTCTGACTCTGACTGCTCCTTTTATATCTCTCCTGAGTCAAGTGCTGGGATTAAAGGCGTGTGCTACCACTGCCTGGCCTTGATTGAAAGGATCAAGATAATTATCAGAGTGTGCTCAGCTGTTGTGGGCTGTTGAAAACAAGTCTCTTGTCAGGGTACATGGTTCAAGATGGCTGCAAAGATAATAGCCGCCCTCGGCTCAGAGTCGGCTCCCAACAGTGGTGCATGTCTTGAGGCAGTCTAGTTGGTGTGCTAGTCTGGTTGACAATTTCCAGGCTAGCCAGAACTACATACTGAGGCCCTGTCTTCATAAACATTCATGAAGCTCTGAGGAGAATGAGGGTCCAGTGGGAAGGTGGCCTTGGGCTGTAGCATGAGGCAAGCAGTGAGTGACAAAAAGAACTGAAACAGTGTGGAGGTCAGAGGACAGCTGAAGGGGTCGGCTCTCTCCTTCCTTTCCCACGGGTTCCGGGTCGCCAACCCATCCCACCTGCTTCACACGCTCTTGACTGCTATTGCTTCTCCCACTTTGGGCACCTTCAGCCTTTTGAGAAAAGTGGCTGTTGTCTGCCCATCAGGCCTCCCCAGCAGCAAGCATCTTATCGTCCCCAAAAGCCCACACCTGTTCCCACTAACAACTTCATGGCTCCTGCAACCAACCATTCCTGTTATGCGCCCCCACCAGCCACCATGAGAGGTTAAGCCCAGCTCCCCCAGATAACCCCAAAGCCCCCAAATAGCGGAGGTAACCTCCCTGCCTGCCTTCCATAAATTGTGGCTTCATGGAGCACAGGTGAGGTGCAGTGATCTGGCAGGAGGAAGAGGACAGCCACTCGCCAGGCCTGCCCGACACACTGCATCTCCAGGTGAGTGTCTCCTCCTCTCAGGAGACTTTTGACACCGACCACCAAACATACAAGGGAACCCACTTCAGTGGGATATCTGGAAAAGAAAACCCCACTTCTCAAGAGACCTCCAACCTCTTGAGATCTCAGGGAGCTCAGGCTAGCCTTGAAATTCTGACCCTGTCTCCTCCTACCTCTTCATTGCTAGGGTTACAGCCATGTACCAAACATACTTTATGTAGCACTGGGAAGGGAACCCAGGCTCTTGTGAATAGCAACTGACCCTAAGCACTGTATCAACTGAGCCCCAACATTCTACCAACTGAGAAACAAACAGTTCAGCTTCAACCCTGATACCTGACACTTCAATTCTGAGGTCCCTGGCTCAACTCTGAAGACATGTGACTGCCACCACCCCCACCCTCCCCATCAGCCTCACCATGCAGTCTCAGCAAGCAGTCTTGCCTGGTCGTGGCCACAGGACATGTGTCCACACACAGCTGAGAAATCAAATCGCTTTAATTGGGAGTGGCTCCCGGGTCCAGCCTGGGTCCTGTGGTGGCAGTGCCAGCTGGGCCTGTGGTCTGCCTGTGTCTGCCGCCTGGCTTCCCTTTCTTGGTGGATGTGCTGGTTTTTTTCCCCGATTGATGGGACCGCAGGCCAGGGGCCACCGTGTCGGTGACAGGGACCCCAAGATGGGGCAGCGGCTCATCATCCAGGGCCTTGAAGCTGAAAAAGTAATCCACATTGGCCACTGCATCCAGGATCTCAGGGACACTGTAGTCAAAGGACAGCAGGTCATCTGGCAGGTGCAGGGAACGGATGTCGGTTGGGAAGTCATCCCCACCACCACCACTGTCCCGCAGTCCAGGGCCAGGACCCCTGTGCAAGGCCACCTCAGGTTCAGTGCCACCAGGGAGACAATCAAAAAGTTTCATGGCATCTTCTAGAAGGACCTTGTCTGGTAGGAAGAACGCACGAGGCGCCTCAGGAGGCCTGGTCTCGCCTGAGCCCGCTGCGGTGACATCCTCCACCTGGGCCTCCTTGGGCTCTACAGACCCAGGAGGGAATCGCAGACCTGGCCTGGCTACACCACTGCTCTGTAGCTCCCTGGAAGCTTCAATGGGCCTCATGGTCACCTGGGGTCCTGGGAACTGGCTGGCGTGGCCACTGAGATGGCCGTAGGGCCCAGGTGGCAGCGTGTGTGCTGTGGGGACTGTGATAAGCAAGGGAGATGGCTTAGTCTCTTTGGGGGTTGGCGGAGGTGCCAGGCCATCTCTGAGCATCTCCATGAAGTTGAGGGGCCCTCCGTCCCGCATGAAGCCCAGAGCCTCAGGCACAGGCACTTCCGGTGGAAGGTAATGTGTGAGGTACTGTGGCCCACCGGGGGCCGGCTGGTAGTGGGGGTACAGTAGAGGTGGTGGCCCCGGGGCCTTGAGGTAGGATGGGGCCTCCAGCAAGTAGCCACCAGACAAGGCAGGACCCCCAGCCACCGCCACCTTGTACAGGGATGACTGGCCAAAGTCGGAGGTGGCCCACTCGATGCGGTAGATGCGGGGGTCGAAGAAGCAGCCGCAGGGAGCCATCTGGAAGCCTGTGGGTGGCGAACACCTGAGTGGGGTTCCATAGGGGCCGCCAGGCCATGGGCAGGGCTCCACAGGGCCGCCAGGCCATGGGAGGGCCCCCAAAGCCCAGGTACATAGGACACAGCCCTGGCCTGAGGAGCCTTGTGGACTAGCTCTGATTACCAGTCATCTGGGGACTCATGAGGGGCAAGACACAGGAACTGTTGGGGTCCCTTCCTCTGATGCCTCTCAGGGGAACAGCACCAGAGTTTGGGTGTCCAGGCCTCTCGGAAAGCCATGCCTAGTAATGGCTGCTGTCAACAAAGCAGGCTTCAGCTCGGTCTTCAGTGTCACTTCGAAATGTGGCACGTGAGTTTAGTGATGGGGGAGTCTGTCTGGGGTACAGAGGGGACCCAGGGTCATTTTAGGGTCTCATCTTGGGTGACCATGAAGCCTGCTCATAGCAAGGCTTGGGAATGCTAATACCTGCTGGAGGGGCTGGAAGCACATCCTGGTCCGAGCCGGGGGTCTGATAGTGCAGGTTAGCATTGGCTGTGGACAAAGGTGCCCGGTGAGTGGGGCAGGAGCCCAGGCCCCAGGGCCATCACATATCCCTGCCCACCACCACCATCGTACCTACGGTGGGAAGAGGTTCTGGGCCACCTGGCACTTCAGGGTCCTCCAAGCTCTGCAGGCCAAAGCCTTCCTGGGGTATAGCTGGGGGGTAGAGGGTTTTGGGGTGCTGCATGGGTGAGACAGGCCACCCCGGGGGGGCCCGGGTGGCAGCAAAGGCACCTCGGGGACAGAGTCCCGCTGGGTTCTGTTTGCCCTGTTGCTAGGTGGAGGGTTCCAGTCCAGGGAAGGCTCATCACTCAGGTTCCGGGGGAGGGGGAAGGGGAGGGGGTTGGCAAGCAGTGACTCCCTCTACTCCTGAGCCAGGTCACTGCTGCTGCCTCAATGCAAGCCACTCAATTCAAAGTCACAAAGACACTGGCCAACAAAACAGGACAGCTGGAAGTCAGAAAACAGTGTAGATGGGGACCAGGTACCAGCCAAGGCCACCTCCTAGGAGAAGAGGAACAGAAGCTACCTCAGGACATCTAAACAAAGCCAAGTTTGATGGACGGTGCATGCCTAGGGTTCCAGGAGTTCAAGGCCAGCCCAGACACAGGAGATCTTGTCTCAAAAAAAAAAAAAACAACAACAAAATAAAAGATTATAGAAGAATAAAATTTATTGTGTCTATTGGCTACTTGTAGGCATTGGCTTTATGCTTGGGCAGGAAGACGAAGCCAGGTGGCACTGGTCCAAGCAGCATCTCACTGTGGGGACAAAAGTGACAGGTCAGACCTGGGCCTCCCAGCATCAACCTGTAGAGCCCTGGTCAGTGGATACCTGATGCGAATCCAGTCTGCAGCCTGCTGGCTGGCCATGAGTGTCTCCAGGTGGTCACGGCCTAAGTAGTAGGGCGGCCTCTCGTTGATCTTCTGTGGGAGGCGCTCGAGCAGGCCCACGGGCACATACCTGTGGGCCAGGAGGGCAGAAGAGGCAATAAGGCCGAGTGAGGCCTGAGGCTACAATGTCTTACCCCAGCTGCTTGCCTGGTTCGATGCCCACCTGCAAAGAAAGGAAAGCCACTCAAGAAGGAATCGCCGGGTCCGCTCCACACCCTGTGTGTCAGAGCCCCAGTGTTCCAGGCCGTAGTGTGTGAAGTCCCTCAGGATGTCCAGGCGCTCTGAGGATGAGATGTCCCAGTGTCTCTGTTCTTTGATCTCCGTGAACAGCCATGGCTTGAGCAAAGCCCCACTGCAGAGGGAGATGCTCAGTGAGGGCCTGGTGCCTCCCAGATCCAGTCACCTCGACAGCCAGGCTGCGCCCTCACAGGAGCCCCAGGTGCAGAAAGTTCTAGTATCACTGTCCCAGCCCAGCTGCTACTCACCGGGCAACCATGATCCCCGCAACACCTGTCTGCATGGCATAGTTGGCATCCTCAAACGAAAGGATGTCCCCATTTCCTGAGAAGACACAGTAGGGTCTTGACAGTGGCGGGCCCCATGGACATTGATGGTGTCCATCAATCAATTTTGAGATTTCCAAGGGACCTAGCATCCTCCCAGTCTTCCCAGCTGAAAGACGTGACCCCAGTGGCTCTGGGTACCTACCAAACAGGGGCATGGGGCTGGCCACCTTGGCACACTGTTCTATGTACAGCCAGTCGGCCAGCCTGGTGTAGCGCTGTTCCCGGGAACGGCCATGAAGCTGGGGGTACGGAGGCAGTAATGAGGGCGAGGGTGGAGGGTAACAGGACAAGGGGCTCAAGAAGTAAAGGGCAGGAGGGGGCACAGAGAGACAGCAAAAAACCAGAAAGAGAGACAGAACGAGGGGGAGCTACAGTAATCCCAAGACGTGACGCCACTACCCGACACCCACCGTAACCAGCGCAACACCCCAGTCCCGCAGTTCGGGCAGCAGCCGATGTGCCAGGCTCACACGCTCCTGGACACCTGTGCGCATCTTCACAGTCAATGGTACGTCCAACACCTTCAGGGCAAGGCCAGAGGGGGAGAAAACAGCAGGTCTGGAGGCTACATGCAAAATCAAGTGGGGAGAGGCATAGCGCTAAACAGCCCAGGTTACCTCATTCACGCCCCGCACAATCTGTTGGAACTTGGCAGAGCGATTCATGAGTGCACAGCCGCCACCCTGTGGGACACAGAAACCCTGATGACCTCTCGAGAAACAGACACTGCTTATAGGCACCCACATATAGCTAAATTGCCTGCCACCCAACTCAATGTGTTCCATGTCCAGATGGGGAAACTGAGGCACAAGGCCAGCAGGGCAGGGTCCCGGGCTGAGCCCACACCCACCCCAGGCTCCAGGGCAGAGCAGCCATCACCTTCTTATAGACAAGGTCGATGGGGCAGCCCACATTGATGTCCACAAAGTCCACGTCAATGGTTCGGTTGAGGAGCTCAGCACACTTGGTCATGGTGTCCGGGAACGCACCCTCCAGCTGCACCAGGCAGAGTCTGGTCAATGACTGGCCACTGAGGTCATCACACTGTCCCACAGACAGCAGGAAGGCAAGGCCATGGCAACCTCCTTCAGGGCAAACACTGACCTGTACCCCAAAGATGTCCTCACAGGGGTGGCGCTTGAGCAAAGCCCACTCAGACATCTGTCCCTGGAGCAGGTTTGTACACATGGCCATCTCACCACAGGTCACATCTGCACCGAAGCGCTTGCAGATGCGGCGAAAGGGTAGGTTTCCACACTGGCCGGGGCATGGACATGGTCAGGCCTCAGAGGCCAGTAAAGCAGAGACTCTGCACTAGTAATGCCCAGGGAGCCAGAGCCGCCCACCGCCAGCCACCTCCTACCGTGGTTAATGGAGCCAGATACAGCTTTCCACTGATGTCCAGCTGGAAGGGAAATGAACACGTCAGGCCTCCTTCTCCCACTGTCTAACACATGCTCTCCCTCCCCACACCCCAGTGGCCTCCCTCTGCTGCTGGCCGCTGGACAGACCAGATTCATCTGTCTTAGGAGAAAAGCTCATCAATGACTGATCTCCTGTCTGGAGAGCTTCTATTCAACCTTTAAAACCCTAGTCTCAACAGCTTCCCGTTCACAGTACCCTTCCATGGTACCCTTTTCTCCCCTAGCCCTGACCCTCTGGGACTGTTCAGGCTCTTTCTGCTGAGACGATAGTGTGGACAATGCCGGAGCCCAGCTGCCATGCCTGCACCTTACCCGCTTCTTCTCACAGGGTCGAAGCCGGATGATGTCCTCGTCTGTCAAGGGCCCGCAGGTGGGCACAGGGATGCCCTGTGGGGTGCCAGCCTCTCCCACAGTGTCTAACTGGGCATGGTAGCTCTTCTGCTCTGGGGTCAGCATGGCCACAGTGGTCTCAGGGACAATAGGGGGCATGGGGCCCTGGGTGAGGCGGCACAGGGCCTGCTCAGCTCGCTCAAAGCACACTTGACGCTTCCGCAGCTGCTGCTGCAGGGCCCTGTCTAGGCCATTTCGCACACAAGGGAGCTGCACACAGCGGGCCACCACCTCCTCCTGTACCAGGTTCTGACCCTCAGGCCCCAGGTGTGCTCCAGCAAACCGACAGGTCACACCGTATGGGCACCGGCCGAAGGTGTCAAAGAGCACGCAGCGAGGGCCCAGGTCTGCCGGCTTGGTCTCCAGGTAGCGCCCCACATCATGCAGGAAGCGGCAACGGTCCCCAAATGCACACGGAGTAGCCGACTCCTGTGAGGGACATGAAAGGACTGAGTGGCCAGGATCAGCAAAGCAATGACTCTCCCATCTGTGTGTCCCGGGGAGTTGTCAGCAACCCCTGCACGCCTGTTTTACCAGCCCGAAAGCTGGAATGGCGTCAAGCTGGAGTGACAGATCCGGTGTCGGTGTCTGTCCTGCATGGGTCTGATTCCCAGTAATCAAGAGGCACCTCACAACTGCCTGTAACTCTAATTCCAGGACACACAACGCCCTCTATTAAAATGTGAATGACATTAGCTGAGCACACCTTTAATCCTAGCACTTGAGAGTGCTCCCTGAGTTCAGGACCAGCCTGGTCTACAGAGTGAGTTCTAGGACAGCCAGGGCTACACAGAGAAACCCTGTCTCAAACAAACAAACAAACAAAAACAAAAAAAATAAAATAAAATAAATGCAAGTGTGGTGTGTAGAGAGGCTGAAGGCTGACGATTCTGAAGGCAGCACTGTGGATCAAGTCAAGGCACCGCTAGGTCGAGTCCCTGAAGGCCAAGAGTCACATGCATTTGTCACAGCACAGCATCTGCAGACTTTGAGCCAATCCTGTAGGGCAACCCCTCACCTGGAGGAGGGACGGGCAGAGCCTCTCCTTGTCATAGTGTGCTGGCTTCATATGGGGCCGACTTTTGTTTTGGCCACGGGCCCTCTTGGGCACCTGCCCTTCATGGGACTCAACTGCCACCTCTGTCTTCCCATTCTCCTGCCTATCTTCCAGGCGAATTCTTTTAGCTCCTGGCTCATCTGGGTCTCCTGTGGGCGTTTCCTGGCATCCACCCTCCTGCTTGTCTACATCCAGGTATTCGTGGAACCGTTCTTTGGTGGTGCGGTACCTGCCAAAGAAGGAGGGGCTCGCTGTGTACAGGGAAAGGGGCTTGGGAGCCAATGCCAAGCTCACATGCTTCTGCTTGCGGGAGGTTTCCCATACTTAGAACCAGCCAGTTTTCACCTGGGGGCACCCCAGTGCCAATGGGACACCTATTTTACACTTGAAGGACCCATTTGTGTCCCTGCTCAAAGAACTGCATTGCCTTAAGGGTTACGACACACAAAACCAACATTCTTGGTAGAATGGTCCAACTATGAAGGAACTACAAATCCCGGAGTGCTTGGCAGCGAGACTCAAGCTACCACACTTCTCAGGAGGTCTTTCGACGCGAGCCATTTTTTTTTTTTGCCCATCGCAGAGACTACAAACCCCAGCATGCACCTCGGGCCCTGCTTCTGGTTCCTCAAAGCTGCATATGCACAGCCGGCCTAACTGCTTGAGACAACCAACACATGTTACACTCGAGACTCAGCAGAGGGTAGGTAAAGACTCTGGCGCCTCCGGGATACCCCTCTCCAGGATGCCGCCACACCTCCCAGCATGCACCACTCGCACCGCGCCAGGGACGCCGGGAAGGCCACATCAGCTTTGCTGACAGGCGCCAGCGACTCACTGAGCTTTAATGGGCGCCACCCCCCGTTCGCACGCGCCAACCCCGGAGTCACCGCCACCACCGCTCTCGGCGGCTGCCTCCACAGCCTCCGCCATCGACGCCCCTCACACCGGCTCAGGAGTGTGGCAAGAAAGTCTTCCGGGTCGCGCGGGTCCTCTGAAGCCTACAGAAAGAAATGCGCACGCCCAGACCGCACCAATAAATGCTAAGGCGCGCGTGCGCACAGCCGTCGGGGGTAGGGGGAAAGCAAGGCCTCACAGGAACCGGAAGTGCTCCAGGGTCCCGCGGGGTTCAGGTCGGCCACCCGTGGGTCGCTGTTGATTCGTGGAAGTGAGTCGGTGTAGGGGGAAGGGGCTGCAGCTCACACTGACCGACTCCGTGCTTTTTTTCCTTTT